CGCTCGGCCGCGGAGCCTCGGGCGCCGTCGGGGGGCTTCTCCCGGGAGAAGGTGGTGATGGTGACGGGCGACACGGCCCGCTCGGGGCCCAGCGCAGCCTCGGCGCCCTTGGGTCTCTGAGCCAGGATGTTGGAGGACGGGATGATGGTGATCCTGGGCTTCTGGGTGCCCAGGGTGGGGATGACGGTGGTGCTGGAGAAGAACTCTTCCGACGTGGGGCTGGTGATCTCCAGGGTGGCCGTGCTGTGCTCGTGATCGGGGGTCACGCGGATGTGCAGCGGCTGGCCCTGCTTGGGGGACACGACCAGCTCCCCGGAGTGCCCGGTCCGGGGCGCCCCCGCTGCCGCCGTCCCCGCCGTCGGGGCGCCGCCCTCCCGCCGGCGCATCCACGGGATCCACGACTTGCGCAGGGCCAGCTCGTTGGCGGCGGGTGGGTAGCGGTCGAGGACGGAGGCGGCCCGCTCGGGGTTCCGCTTCAGCCCCACCTGTCTCAGGTTACTCATGATGTGGTTTTCCTCTTGGAAGGACTTCCGGATGAAGACGGCCGGCGTCTCGTCCTCGACGGCTTCGCTGCCCACCGCGTCCGTCTGGACGCCCGTGGACGCCACCGGCACGTCCACCATCCTGCGCCCTGCCCCGCTGGGCCGCAGCGCGCGGCCGTAGCGCCTGGAGAGCTCCAGCTCTTTGGTGAGGCCCAGCACCTCCTGGCCCAGGCTCTTGTTCTTGGTCTCCTCCTCCAGGAATCTCTGCTGCAGGACCGAGTGATCCACCTGCAGCTGGGCGAGCTGGTCCTCCTTGTTCATCAGCTCGTGGATCTTCTCTTTCAGCGCCTGGACCTCGGCTTTCAGGTCTCGACTCTTGGCCTCCTCCAGCCGGAAGCGGTGGCGCAGCTCCGCCTCCTGGCTGGCCGCCTCGCCTTTCTCCACGGCTTTGTTCTTCGCCATCTGGTGCTTGATCTCCTCCAGCTGCTGCGACAGGAAGTTGGCCTTGTCCTGCTCCGTGCGGAATTTCCGTTCCAGCTGATCGTACTCGTCCTCCGTCTTCATCAGATCGCCCTCCACCACCTCCAGCTGCTGCAGCCGCTGCCTCAGCCTCTCGATCTCCAGCGTGAGTTCTCGGATCTTGTTATCTTCCGGGCCCGTGAGCTCAGGCCCTTTGCGCGCCCTCCCCCGGGCCAGCTCCCTCTCCACTTCCTCCAGGCCGTCCAGCCTCTTCTGCAGCAGCTCCACGCTGCCGCTCAGGGCCGAAGATCTCTCCTGTTCGCTCTTCAGTTTGCCCACCAGCTCGTCCCGCTCCTTCCGCAGGCCGGACACCTTGGCTTCCATCTCGGACTTCAGTTTCAACAGCTTCTTGCTCTCTTCGATGAGTTTTTCCGTGACGTCCATCACCTTGCCCTGCTCCACCTTGAAATTCTTGTTGAGGCCATCCACTTTCCTCTCTTCTTGCTTTATCTTCTCCATCATGTTTTTCCTCTCGTCCACCAGCATCACGGTGAAGGACTTCAGCTTGGTCAGATCCTCGCGGAGGCCCAGCTCGGCCTTCTCCAGGCGACCCTCGGAATCCTCCAGCTCCTTCACGCGATGCTTCACCACCTCCAGCTCGTTCAGCAGGTCTTTGCTTAAGTTCTTCTCTTTCTCCAGGTTCAGGTGGAGCTGGGAGCATTCGGATTTACTCCTGCTGAACGCTTCTTCCAGCTTCTCCAGTTCGGACATCCTCTTCTGCAGTTTCTCCACTTCCAGCTTGAGCTCCTTGCTGTGGTGCTCCTCCTCCTGGAGTTTCTTCCGCAGCTCTCTGCACTGGGACTCGGTTTTTGTGATTTCCTCATCTTTACCCTCCATTTCCAGCACCCGCTTCCGGAGGTTTTCCACCTCTGCCATGAGGCTGGAGTTGCCGCATTCTCCTTTGGCGATCTTATCCCTGAGCTCCTGCAGTTCTTCCTCGGCCTTTTGGAGGTTGTTATTGGTCTCTTCGAGCTCCTCGATTCTTTGAGACAGGCCCACCAGCTTGAGTCGGAGCTGTCGGTTGTGAGACTCCTGGTTGGCCAACTTAGCATTCATCTCTTCATGCTCCTGAGAGAACCTGGAAGCCTTGTGTTCGAAGTCCACCTCCAACTTGAGTAGTTTCTGTCTGTCTTCTTTGGATTTGGAGGTGATGGCTTTGAGCTTTTCTTCCTCTTCTCGCAGTTTCTGAGTGAGGTCTTGGACCTTCTGGCTTTGCAGGCCCAACTGTTCGATGTGCATCTGCCTCTCATCCACCAGCATGAGCGCAAACGACTTGAGTTTCACCAGCTCGTCTCTGAGTTTATTGAGTCGCTTGGCGTTTTCTTTCTCCTTGCGAGCCTGGTAAGCCTTTTCTTGTTCAAGCAGCTTTTTCAGCCTAGAAATGAAATGTAGCTCTACGTTAAAGGAGTAAATAGGTGAGCTGTATTAAAAGGAGCGAATAGATGGATCTTAAGCTTTAGATAATGACTTAAAAACAAAATGCTGTGACAACAACCCCTCTTCAATCGCTGTCATAGCCATTAGCAATGGGCATTAATTAGTGAAGTCAGGGTTCTGGTTACTTTTACTACAGGGGATGGGCATGAAGAGAGCTGTGCCCTTGTCTCTATTTCATGGTTTAAGTGCCCATTATTCAAGATTTCTCAATTACTGAAAGTTCACAAGTTGAACAGAATGACTCCCATTCTTCATGGAGACTGCATGGTAATAACAACTACCAAGTAGACCTCAGCTCATCAGTCATGACAAAGATGCAAACAGAGCTCTGTGCATCCACCCGGGTCCACTCGATCCTCACGGCAACCCTGAGGACACTTTACAACCAACTACTCTCCTCTCATGAGGAAAGCAAGACACAGGGAATCACTTGACTGGGCCCACATCACACAGTGAGTGGCAGTGCCCGGATTCCAGCTCTGTCATCAAGACTCCAGATCCTCAGCTGTCTCCTCTATGCTACAGTTAGAGAGCCATTTATTTCAATGGAAGGGAAGATCAAGAAAGGAAGAACCTGTGGGTTTCCTTCCTTCTTCCTTCCTTGCTTTCTTGCTTCCTTCCTTCCTTTCTTCCTTCCTTGCTTTCTTCCTTCCTTCTTTCCTTCTTCCCTCCCTCCCCTTTTTTTCCCTTCCTCCCTCCTCCTTTCTTTCTCTTTCTCCCTTCCTTTCTTTCTCTTTCTCCCTTCTTCCCTCCCTCCCTCCTTTCCTTCCTTTCTTCCTTCCTTCCTTCCTTTCTCTCCCTTCCCTCCCTCCCTCTCTTTTCTTTCCTTCCTTCCTTCCCTCCCTCTCCCTTCTTCCTTCCTTCCTTCCTTCCTTCCTTCCTTCCTTCCTTCCTTCCTTTCTTTCTCTGGGGCTTGGGGCTTAAATTTAGGGCTTTGTCACTGTCCCTGAGCTTTTTGCTCAAGACTAGTGCTCTACCACTTGAGCTATAGCTCCACATTCAGCCCCTGCCCTCCCTTCTTCTTTTTTGGTGGTTATTTGTAGATGAGAGTCTCATGGACTTTCCTGCTTGGGCTGGCTTTGAACCATGATCCTCAGATCTCAGCCTCCTGAGTAGCTAGGATTACAGGCATGAACTACCACCACCTTGCCTGGGGCTTCTTATTTTGAAGCCTTGAAATAAGCCATGTGACTATCACATGAGAGGGACAAGACAAGATAAATTCTCTGGTACAAATGCTGACCTACACAAACTGATTTTAGTTAACCCCAACAGCTGTCAAGGATCTGGTCCAATTTATGATTGAAACAATTTTTCTCCCTAAATACAGAACTAAGTAGAGGGGGAATCTGAATGACTATCTTTAAGAAAAAAGGTAGCAGCCACAATAATGATTATGTTTTATATGTCTGAAATGGGTTTTTTTCTATGCTATTGATATGTAGGGGTTTTTCGGGGTCTTTTTTGGTTGTTTGTTTTGACAGTTGTAGGGCCTGAACTCAGAGCCTGGGCGTTGTCCCTGAGCCTCTTTGTGCTCTAGGCTAGCAGTCTACCACTTGAGTGACAGCGCCACTGCTGGTAGTTGAATGGTTACTTAGAGATAAGAATCTCACAGGGACTTTTCTGCCCATGCTGTCTTTGAACCAAGATCCTCAGATCTCAGCCTCCTAAGTTGCTAGGATTACAGGCGTGAGCCACTGGCACCCAGCTGATGTATAGTTTTAAGAAGGAACTACCATTCTTACTGTGCTCAGTTAACTTATTGGTTATTTTTATCTACCCAAGTCATATTCATCATGTTAGTTATTGTAAGAGCATATTTAGTAATTAATATGCTTATAAGAAACACATGGTGTAAACATCTACCAACATGTATTTATTTGCTTTCAGTACATTTTATCCTTGCCTGGATTGGTTTTTTTTGTGTTTATGACTAAGTAAGCTGTAAATAGAAATTGTTCCACATTGCATTGTGCAACAAACGATTGGACATCCATATAAAATCTATTTATAATTAAATCTACTCTCATGTAATTACCACAGAAATTGTTCTGATCATGTCATACAATAGCTGTATACTTTTATAGAACACATCCTCGTGTATAAACATCTCTTAATTAAATAGCTTCCAAAAAAACTTTAGCTGTGAAATAGGAGGAGATTGTTTTCAAATCTTACAGACTCCTAGGAATAGCATTATTCTAGCTTCCTGAAGGGTAACCCTTACTTGTGTGAAGGAACATTTTATTGATCACCTTCTTATTACTTGGGTTAAAAGAAGGACTTAACTATCATGGAAAACATAAAACTTGTTAATAGCTGGACATAGGAGGCTAAAGATCGGGAGGATTGTGATTTCGAGTCAGTCTGGCCAAAAAGCTCATGATCTTCCATCTCAGTGGAAGAAGTTGTGTGTGGTGGCACACACCTGTCATCTCAGCTACCGTAGGAAACATAAAATAGGTGGACTATGGTCTAGACATCCACCCAAGCAGGAGATGAGACTTTTGTCTCAAAAATAGCCAGTATAAGAGGGCACCAGTGACTGACACCTGTAATCAGGAGGCTGAGATCTAAAGATTGTAGTTCAAAGCCAGCATGGGCAGAAAAAGTCTGTGAGACTCTTATCTCCAATAAACCACTCAGAAAACTAGAAGTGGCGCTGTGGCTCAAGTGGTAGAGTACTAGCCTTGAGCTGAATAGCTGAGGGACAGCGCCGAGGCCCAGAGTTCAAGCCCCACGACTGACCCCCCCACCCCCCAAAACCCCCAAATTTCCAGTTTAGCCAGGCACTGGTGGCTCATGCCTGTAATCTTAGCTACTCAGAAGGCTGAAATCTGATTGTCATGGTTCAAAACCAGCCAGGGCAGGAAAGGCCGTGAGACTTCTATGTCCAGTTAATCACCAGAAAACCAAAAGTGGTGCTGTGGTTCAAAGTGGTAGAATAGTAGAGTGAAAGAGCTCAGGGACAGCACCCAGGCCCTGAGTTCAAGCCCCATGATCCTCCCCCTCCCCACCCTAATAGCCAGTATTAAAAGATCTGGAGGTTAGCCCTGTGGTAGAGTGTCTGCTTAGCAAGTACAAGGCCTACAGTGGAAAGACAACCACCCTATCACAGCAACTTGTTAAGGCATAAAGAGGGGAAAGCAGAAAGGGGAGGTAAACAGAAGGGGGCGGACATTTTCAGATGGAGTTTGACGTTGCTGAGAAGAAAACTTGTAGGGCAAGTCATGTTTGAACTCCTTGTTTACTTTGTGCCTTTTCTTCCCCTAGGAATCTTCCTCAAGTCCACCAAATGCAACCAGTTCTACCAGATTCCTAGTTCCAAAATTTCCAGTCAAGTTTGAACCTTCCCTTTGTCTCGCATCCCTACTCTCAGGGAAATTTCTCAGCAGAATTTCTCATTTATCTTCAAAATATATCCCCAATTCAATTCTTTCTCATCTGCTCCATCCCTTTACCCCTCCCCAAGAAGACACCACATCTCTTATGTGGATTATTTCAAAAGGCACCTAATTTCACTCCCAGCTTCTACTCTTGACCACTCTCTGTATTCTCCCAGGAGCCTAAGTGACTAGAAAAAGAAAAAGGAGCCAATCAGATCCTACCTCCATGACAAAGACATAATGGGGTTATATAGATGTAGGAAAACAGGTAGACCAGGATCACCTATTATATCTATGCATCTATGTATGCATGTATATATCTATCTATTTGTCTATATTGGAGATTAATAAACTCTGTTCTCCCATATAAAACTAGTTAATAAGTAGTAGTAAGTAATGAAAGCATGTTACTCTTAATTAAAAAGAAATGTCAGGTATTGATGGCTCATGTCTGTAATACTAGTTATTTGGGAGGCTAAAATTAAGAGAATCACGGAGGCCAGGTCAGATACTTAAAATAAAAATCACAAGACCTCTCTTTTCAACTGGTGGCTGGGAGAAGGGTTCATATCTATTGTCCTAAACTATTCTATGGGAAGCTGAGACTGGGAAGATCATGGTTCCAGGCTGGCCCAGGCAGAAAAGTCCATGAGACTCTATCTCAACCAGAGAAGCTGTACATGGTGGTACATGTCTATCATCCCAGCTATGGTGGGATGACAAGTCTAAAATAGAAGGATCACAACTCAGATGCATGGCCCAGCATCTCAAAATACCCAGTGAAAAAAGAACTGGAGACATGGCTCAGCAGTAAAGTACCTGCCTAGCAAGTGCAACGCCCTAAGTTCATATTATTTTAAAAGAGAGAGAGGAGAAAGAGAGAGTGAAGGAAGGAAGGAATTAAAGGGTATCAATTTTTTTTGGGGGGGTGATCAGTCATGGAGCCCAAACTCTGGGCTCAAGGCTAGCATTCTACCACTTGAGCCACAGCACCACTTCTGGATTTTTCTGGTTATGTGGTGCTGAGGAATCGAACCCAGGGCCTCATGCATGAAAGGCAAGCACTATACCACCGAGCCACCTTCCCAGCCCCAGGGTATTAAATTTTTAATAGCCAGAGAAATAATAAATGTCTCTTAAAAAGAGATACTGCCAGTCTTTCTCTCTCTCTCTATATATATATATAATATATATATTAAACGTATATATAATTCTTACCAAAAAATTGAACTTCAGTCATATCATATTCTTCTAATTCATTACTAATCACAAGAGGATAGGCAAGAAACTACAAAATAACATCAAGAATCTATAGATTCAATGAAATTTAGAAGCTACAGCAACCAATCATTATTTTGGGGCTGTTATTCAAACTGTTTTTTGTTTTTGTTCTGTTTTTTTTTTGTGTGTGTGTGTCAGTTCTGGGGCTTGAACTCAGGGCCTGGGCCATTGTCCCTGAGCTTTTGTGCTAAAAGCTTGTGTTCTACCACTTGAACCACATTTCACTTCTGGCTTTGTGGGAGTTTATTGCAGCTAAGAGTCTCATGAACTT